TAGGAGATTGGCCAATGACATTCCGTTGTGCTGTGGCAATGCAGAAAAAGAGGCTTCCACACTCCTACTCTTGCCCATCCCAAGGTATCTTGTTACGATATGGAATAGTTGAATAAACATTCCTGAGTAACAAATCCTTAACACGAAGATGACTGCAGCGATGACGAAAGACCAAGCGACGAGACATTTATCGAGAAAGTTACAAGCAGGAAGAAGTGCAGGAAATGTTCAAACGGTTATCGGACCGCGTACGGTTACCGAATCGCACGGTTGCGATGCTGCATCTAGATTAGCCCTAAGGGGAATGTACCCCCTCAGAGTACATGGCTAGCTAGGACCTTTCGCATTCCACTTTATTCCTAAATAAACCCTTGTACCGCATTGTGATAATCACTTCTGTCGAGATTCAAATCTCCTTCTACTGACAGAGTCCATACCCGACATTACCTAACAATCTTCCGCTGCTACACTCCGTGCGATCAACCTGAGACGATCCTATAAGACGGTTTAGATTGTATCACATTTGAAAAAAGGGCCAGCACTCCACAGTAGCCTTCGGGCTATCCCTCGCACCACAAGGCAGTGCCCGGTAGTCCCGCGTGCGGTTGCGCGACCAGAAGAGGCTCTCCCACACTCTCCTACGCGTGCCCGTCCCAGGGCGGCTGGCAGAAGGGCCAGCACTCCACTGGGGTGTTCGGATTATCCCTTGCACCACAAGGCCGTGTGCCCGGCAGTCCCGCGTGCGGTTGCAGAACCAGAAGAGCCCCTGGTCCTCCACAACACCCATGGAGTCGTTGCTCAGTTTAAAGTGGCTCTCTCAGACTCTACTTCTGCCTTCCCCAAGGTAGCTGGCAGAAGGGCCAGCACTCCACAGGAGCCTTCGGGTTATCCCTTGCACCACAAGGCACTGCTCGGCAGTCCCGTGTGCGATTGCAGGAAACAAAGGTCCCTATACCACACTCCTACTCGTGCCCGTCCCAAGCAGGGCTGAATTTTCAAATAAAACCACTCTGATTGTTTTGCCCCCCCCAAAAAAATTAGTTTCAGGCCCATTTTCCAAAAATTGATTGCTATGATTTCTCAGGAACCAAAGAAGTATAACTCTGAAAATTTTGGAATTCAGATGCTATCATAAGTTGAAAGCAGGTTTAACTACTAATGGGTCTTGCAAGTCCCTGAGGGATGGGGTTTCACTCCAGTAACAGGAATGGCGTAGGGGACTTCGTACTCTGTAGTAGGAAAACTCATTATTCAGTAAGCAAGTACTCTGAAATTTTCAGTATTGAAAAAAACATTAGTCTGAAGCACTCATTTTTCAAAATCATCCGACCCTGAAACATAAGGAACGTCAGGAAAATAGTATGAAATTTCAGACTATCAGATAGTATGATATCGTCAGCCCTGGTCCCAAGGCGGCTGGCAAAATGGCCAGCACTCCACAGGAGCCTTCGGGCTATCCCTTGCACCACAAGGCAGTGCCCGGCAGTCCCGCGTGCAGTTGCGAGACCAGAAGAGACCTTGGTCTTCAACAACATTCTTTGAGTCGATGCTCAGTGCAAAGTGCAGGTCGATCTGCCCTGCTGTGTAGTGGTTCAGTCGCAGCACCTCTGGTGGCGCTACGGCTGTGGAGTTTTCTGGAGCGGTGGTGGCATGGATCCCCACCGTGCTGTATAGGAGGAGAGGGGTGGCATAGGGGCGGGATGTGGGAAGGTCGGCAAGTGAGAGAGGAGGTGAGAAACGAAATGGGTGATACGGGATGGTGGTAAGGTGACCACAAGAGCCCCTGGTCCTCCACAACACTCATGGAGTCGTTGCTGAGTGCCAAGTGCAGGTCGATCTGCCCTGCCATGTAGTGATTCAGCCGCAGCACCTCCGGTGGCGCTACGGCTGTGGAGTTTTCTGGAGCGGTGGTGGCATGGATGCCCACCGTGCTGTATGGGAGGAGAGGGGCGGCATAGGGGCGGGATGTGGGAGGGTCGGCAAGTGAGAGAGGAGGTGAGGATTAAGTGGGTGATATGGGATGATGGAGACCAGAAGAGCCCCTGGTCCTCCACAACACTCATGGAGTTGTTGCTCAGTGCCAGGTGGGGGTCGATCTGCCCTGCCTTGTAGTGGTTCAGGCTCAGCACCTCCCTGGTGGCGCTAAGGCTGTGGAGTTTTCCGAAGCTGTGGTGGCATGGATGCCCACCCTGCCGTATGGGAGGAGAGGGGCGGGGTGTGGGAGAGGCGGCATTTGGAGGGGCGGAATGTGAAAGGGGCGGCATGTGGGAGGGGTGGCGTATGGGAGGGGCGGCATGTGGGAGGGGTAGCGTGTGGGAGGGGCGGCATGTGGGAGGGGTGGCGTGTGGGAGGGGCGGCATGTGGGAGGGGTGGAGTGTGAGAGGGGTGGCATGTGGGAGGGGTGGCGTGTGGGAGGGGCGCCATGTGGAGGGAAAGTAAGCAGCATATAGTAGTAATCAAGTGGTGCTATGACAAGGAAGGCAAGAGAAGAATAATCACTGAGACAGAGAGGGGATTGATTTTGTTGATAAGCACTCACTAGGGGGGAATGGTGTGTGGGTTGACAGCACTCACTAGGGGAGAATGGTGTGTGGGTTGATGACAATCACTAGGGAAGGATTGTATGTGGGTTGACTGCCACTTAGTCATGGTATCTGCGCATGCCGTTATCAAACGCAGGCAAGCGACAGCGCCACATTAAACAGTCTGTCACTCACTCCCCACGGGTCTCACTATGGGTGAGTGGTGTGTGTGTGGGTTGACAACACTCACTAGGGAAGGATCGTATGGGGGTTGACTGCCACTTTGTCATGGTATCTGTGCATGCCGTTATCAAACACAGGCAATTTGCTGCGCCACATGAGGCGGTCTGTCACACACTCCCCGCGGGTCTCCTTGGTTTCTCCCCATACGTTGAACCGCCGCAAATGAATAGCCTGCCGTGGGTAAGGGGTGAGAGGGGAGGATGGCAGATGCTCCGTATGGCATGCAAGGCAGTCCATCTGGGCAAGCTGCTGCGCCACTCGAGGCGGTCTGATACATGCTCCCCTAGGAGGCGGTCTGATACATGCTCCCCTAGGAGGCGGTCTGATACATGCTCCCCTAGGAGGCGGTCTGATACATGCTCCCCTAGGAGGCGGTCTGATACATGCTCCCCTAGGAGGCGGTCTGATACATGCTCTCCTAGGAGGCGGTATCATTTGTCACTCCCAAGAAGTTGAACCGTCGCAAGTGAATGGCCTGCCGTGGGAGCTGGAGAGAGGGAAGGGATGGGGTGCTGCTGAAAGGCCTGCTGCAGGTTGATGGTGCCGTAAGCATGTTGTGCCCGCCTTACAGTCACGTCAAAGTGGCCCCAACTGAGTGCCAGGTGCCGTCCCATTTCCGTTCTTTGTGAATGGATGCTGTCCTGTTTTCACATACTCCTTTTGATATAATGACAATAATGATCATTGTTATTTATACAGCTTCCATGTTACCCTGTTGGTATCACTAACGAGATTTCTCAAAGCTCACCCGTAGCGGTTCCGTGCTGTTTTGCGCGTGGTTGAGCTCTATCCTCGCTAGAAGCGGCTTCAGGAACCCCCCTGCCCGAGGCAGGTACCAGATGAACTCGTCGCTGTCTATCTGCAGCTGCCACCTGTCGCCGAACCTCCGCCCCAGCATCATGCAATGCTCGTAGGATATAAGCTGGTCATATATATCAGGAAACTGGAGGGGGGAGGAAAGGGGGAGGAGAGGAATGAGGGGGAGAGGATGCTACTTTTTGTCATCAGCAACATGCAGCGCTCATAGGATCTAAGCTGGTAGAATTTGGTTGGGACTAGGGAGGGGAAGGGGAGAGGGAGGGGGAGAGAGGTGAGGAGGGGATAGAGGGGGGGAGAGGGGGTGGAGATTTTTCTTTGGGGTAGTTTATGAGTAAACTCAAGGCATTAGCATCTTGCAGCACTCATCAAAATTCGCTGATCGAATGTATATGGAAACTGGGAAGAGAGGGGAGGGGAGGATGGTGGAAAGAGGGGAGTGAGGACACGATGCTCTTGTAGGCTTATGATTGCATATCTCAGGAATCTGCATGGGGAAGAGTTGCAGGTGATTATTTAGAGTTCCCAACTGTTGTGCGGCTCCAACACCTAGAGTTCCATAAGTACAAAAGGAAATTAAAACACACACACACACACACACACACACACACACACACACACACACACACACACACACACACACACACACACACACACACACACACACACACACACACACACACACACACACACACACACACACACACGTGCGCACGCACGCACGCACGCACGCACGCACGCACGCACGCACGCACGCACACACACACACACACACACACACACACACACACACACACACACACACACACACACACACACACAAACACACACCAAGCAGACAAAGGAGGGCCAGGGTATTGGCTCACTATAGACACGGTAAAGGACACAAAATTATATACGATTGTGGCCACAGGAGGGACAGGGAAGGACCACAGCAGGAGCAGCTCGCGCTTGGCTGTGGAGTAGCGGCCTTTATGCAGACCATCCATGTTGGAGTAGGCTAGAGCCCGCTCTAGTCTTTATTTTGGTGTTACTTTGTAATTTGGCCATGTTTAGACGAGTTACACTTTTGGGTTCAGTTTAGGTTCATTTAGTAGTTTTTAGCATAAACTCTACACACCCTAGGCTCACTTACGGTTTTCAATTGTACCTCGACACTTCTTCGCTCACCCAACTCTATCGCTATCCATGGCTCCTTCAAGTTTAACATGTTATTCAGTGCGTAGTCCTAGACGTCTCGTTCTCATCAGCATCTCTTAGTAAATCTGAGGTCGCTATGCCATTTCCACGCTACCTATTAGCTAGTCGACTCTTTTTTTTTTTTTTTTCGTCTCCTCTAGCATTCGCGATTTTCCCTTACTTCACTCGCGGATACCCTAACCAGCCGCGCGCCTTCCGTAGCGCCGTCCCCGACCCCTCCTATCCCCATCCCGCGTCTCCCCACTTCGTCGCGCCTCCTCCTCCTCTCGTTTCCGACCGTAGCGCGCTCGTCTCCGCCTGAAGCGCGCGTTCTGCACCCTCCGATCGCGTGCGCGTTGCCCTACCGCCGCCGCGCGCGCTTTGCACCGTCCAGCAGCGCGCGCGCCTACCTTCCCTCGTGGAGCGCCCTATCCTTCCGCCCTGCCCTTCCATCCCCCCCCCACACACACCGAGCAAGGCACTCACCGCGTACGGGTTGTTGCCCTTCCCAGCAAACTGGTCCTGGCGATAGAACACCTCTGACCAGGGGGGGAACGGCACGTGCACCACCTGCCCCCGGGCCATGTACGGCAATAGCAACTCGCGCTTGGCTGTGTCGTAGCGGCCTCTCTGCATAGAGGCGGCAGACTATGCCGCGTACACTGGGGCAGCGACGTGTCTACTAGACCCACTCTGCCAAGCACGCGTTTCACACACGTACACACCGAATAAGGCACTCACCGCATACGGATTGTTGCCCTTCCCAGCAAACTGGTCCTGGCGATAGAACACCTCTGACCAGGGGGGGAACGGCACGTGCACCACCTGCCCCCGGGCCATGTACGGCAGTAGCAGCTCTCGCTTGGCTGTGGCGTAGCGGTCGTACACATAGACGCGATCCACTCCCATCAGCAGAGACGCGTCTATCCATTCGAGTAATCGCTCGTCGGATACAGCAATGTTGTCGGAGAACATTTGGCGCGTGTGGAAGGGGCGCAGGCAGATGGACACTGCACCCATGCTTTCTGGTTTTCTGCGCCGCCGCCACCGCCTCTGATTTGCGCCGGTGAATTTGCCTGCCGTTTCAGCTGCTGCTCCTGCTGATGCTGCTGCTGCTGTTGGCGGTGGTGGTGCTGCTGCTGGTGGCAGCGCTGCTGCTCCTGCTGCTCCTGCTGTTGTAATCACTGCATTTGAGTAATCAGCAACGATATCGCTTTTTCTAGATCCCCCCAAGCTCTCCTCTTCATATTCATCTGCTTCATCTTCATAATTCACTAGCAAGTCCTCTGAACTTCCCATGTTCTCACCACTAGCCCGCATCCCTCTTTTCCTCCCCTCCTCCACTCCCTCTCTCCCCTTCAGGAACAGTGCCAGGTCTGACTCACCACCTGGGACTCCAACCTCTTTCAAACTCCCAGCAGCACCGGGGGCAGCAGCAGCAACCCCATCACCCCCAGCCTCCTCAGCAGCCCCAGCAGTCTTCCCCCCAGGCTCTCCAGCAACCCCAGCAGCCCCAGCTGCGGCTGCGGCAGAAAGCAGTTCCCTTTCCACAGCAGCGAAGGGAAAGGGCGGTGGGGAGGAGACAGAAAGGGGCTGGGTAGCAGCAGCATCAGCATCAGCAGCAGCAATTTCACTGGAGGTGGAGAGGGAGAGTGAGTGCGGGGAAGAGGCGAGGGTGTGTTTGTCGCTATCGGCGCGGCACAGCAGCAGAGGCGGCATGCGCAGTTCCGCCCCGCTGGCAGCCTCTGCCGCCACCAGCTGCACCTGCACCTGCTGCCAGTGATGCACCGCCCACTGCCTCCCCTCCACCGTTCTCAACCGCTCGTGACCGATCACAGAGGATGATGTAGTTAAGTCCACAGGGAGAGAAGGGGAGGCGGTTGGAGAGGCGCCTGAAAGAGGGGAGGGAGCGGCATGAGCCACATCGGCAACCTCTGAGTCATCACCTGCAAGCCGATCGTTCAAGGCAATGCTAGTAGTACTATCATTTTCAGTGACGGAGGTGTATGATGGAATCAGGCATTCTAATATCAAGTGCCAAAAGTACATGTTCCAAACTGGCACCACATCCACGATATAAGCAGGCTCGAACGCTTGAATATATGGGTCGTGACCAGGCCATATGTGGCATTTGAGCTTAAGCTCTCCCTTGCCGAAAAGCTCGCTGAGCTCCGCCTCTCCCCACCCTTTCCACTGCGTTTTTAAGATAGATTCGTCATCCTCTAAAAAGGAAAGGAGCCTTAAAGACGTCTGGCTGCTCCTGGCTTGCCGCTGCGGCTTTCCCGAGTCTTCTTTCACGAGAGGTTCGGCGTGCCGAACCTCTGCTTCGAACACGGTGACCTGCGCGTATCGGTTGCTCGCCGTTGCGCCTTTCTTTTTTTTCATGATGATTGGCTTCGTAACGAACGTTCCCTGCGCGAATGGCGCGGTCGGGCTGCCCATGCACAGCCGGATCTTCGCGCCGCGGGCAGATAACGACCGATTTGATGATGTGGCAAGGTCAGCGTCATCGATCTCACGCTCTCCATCCACCGCAGCTCGATTTTTACCATATTTCCGCGACTCTTTAAACGGTGTGCGCATCGCATGATCAAAGGGGTCGACTGGAGTTCCCGCGGCGCGGAACTCGCCAGGCAGGCCGGTCGAGCCGCCGCCGAGTTGAAACGCGACCCAGAAGGCGAGCAAGGCGGAGGTGGCAGCGGCGAGCGCGATATAATGGCACTGGCTCGCTGTGGACGCTGCTGCTAGCGGCTGCGGCGTAGTAACGCTCGATGCCATGGCTACTTTCGGCGTTCTAGTGGTGGTTTTGTGTGAACTTCAAGAAGGGAACTCGTCTTAGTGCAAGAAATTGCATTTCTTTGGGCCGCAGGCCTAGCATGCAGGCCTTGGGCGATTCTTTGATTTGTGTTTGTGTGTGCATGATGCAGGTTTTTCGTCACCAAGCCACCACACCACCCACCCACCAAGCCACCAAGCCACCAAGCCACCCACACAACCGCACGTTCGGAGCGCTTGACCTTACACCTGACTACCGACATTAGGATGGAATGTTTTCCAATATCTCTTTCCATATTCTGTACATAGGTACCCGCTTCATTGAAGTAGATTGTGGCGCTGTTCGATTGCACTGCAATGTTTTGTACAGCCACACCACAGTATGTCCGAGTCGGCCCTAGGGTTTCCGAACCTAGGGTCACTACACGCCATAGTCAACTTGTTGCGTGCACAATCTTGATTGACCATTGTTCAGATTTGACAGCTGTGGAAACAAACAAATCCCTCACAGTCAAAACCGCGTTCACCACAAGTAAAACAACGAGCTACAGTATTGTGCATTAAATGCACTACATGACAACAGGGGCACTAGTCCCGGCTGCAATCTCTTCCCCAAGACTCCTGGAGGCCACAGCTGCTAACCCCTCCGTCCAACTCCGAGCTGTGAGAGATAGAAAAAAAAAAAACCAAAGGGGTTGAATCGGAAACTCCCTTTCACCTCCTGAACCAAGCACATCCAGGATGTGAAGATTGCAAATACTCATTCGAAGGAATGAGGATCGAGTAAGCTAACAGCGGAGAGATGAGTTCGGTTGAAAAGGGGAGTGTTCTTGGTAGAACCAATACCCTCGATTCAGGGATAAAGCTGAACATGAAGGGTGACTTGAGGCAGGGCGGGAAGACATACGCGCTGGCAGAACAGGAGGGTCGGCTCCTTGGACGTGTCCGGTCTCTGAATGGCAAGGGCTGGAAATGGTCCCATCGCTTTGGCGCGCTGTGGAATCTTGCGCGAGGGGCACTGCATCCCCCTTAGAGTCGTCCCCTGAGGCTGGCACGCTGCCGGGCCTCTCACGCTCAGTTACGACTGATATATGTTTGTATGCACTAGCATCATCGGTGTATATCTTAACATATTTAAAAAAAAAAAAAATACCCTCGATTCAGGTTGGGGCAGAAGGGGGCGAAGTTTAATTTACCCAGAGCCCGGCCCGAACTCTTTACACCTTCACAGTGGCATTGGGGAGGCTGTCGTTGTTGCAGCTAGCGGAAACCAAGCCTTTTTTGCCCGTGAAGTACTGTTGCTTGACCAGCAGGCAACAGTGTTTTTACCGCGGTCCGCAGCGAAAATTACCGCACCAGATTCGTAGGTGGGCCGAACGTACTTCAGGTTCTGGTTCGGATATGCCTAACCTCTCGTGGGGTTTAAAGCCCAGGTGTGCTGCTGTCGAGCCTTTACCGAACCACGCAATACTGTGATAGGGCTGTGGTTACCCCTGGACTGTGAAGCTATCGAACAGCGCCTGTGGTTTGTAGTGCTTGTTTAATTCTGCGGCCATCTCAATAGCAAACGGTGGGGTATTCGGGAGAGCTATGTAATGACGTGTTGCGACCCACATGGGCTGGGTCGACCGGCCCCCGACCCCTCATTTCTAGGAAGGCTGCGTCGCGGGTCTAACCGACCAGGTCGACCCAACCAGGTCGGGTCGGGTCTGTTAGACCCGGGTCGACCTGGTCGGGTCGACAGGGTCGACCAGACCCAAACCAACCGAGTTGAAGCAGGTTACCTGATCCCACGAATTTTACAGATCTCGCACAGCGATCGCCCTGATTTCGCTACCCGAAAAGATACCAGGTAAACTCGCACAAATCTTGCCATAGCTCGCCACAGGTCGCTCAGGCCACCATCCCCTCGCGCGGCAACTACTTCGCATCACTCTCAAATATGTTAGGAAAAAGCTGAGAAATGTTCAAATTCTCCGAATCGCGTTTCCGAGGGTCTGGTCGGGTGGGGTCTGGTCGACCAGGTCGTCCCGACCAGACCCAATCCGTGTGGGTCGCAACACGTCGTAAAGCATCGCATGTTGGATTGTGCGGATTGGAATGCAAAGATGCCGCTCGTGCTCACCCTCCGCGGAGCCAGAAGTCGACAGGGTTTTTTTTCATGGTACAATTGTGCAATTTCGATAAACAGCAAAAGCTCCATTCGGCAGCAACATTTACTGTACCTCCACGACTCAGGGTGTCTGATGTACTGTATCAAACAAAAATACGCTGAGGGTGCTTTCGGGACCCAAAAGTCCATTTGTTGAAACCGGCGAGGGTTGTGAACTGCATGCCGCGCTGGGCTATCGTGTAATGTACGAAGGTATATTGTTTCTGTCATTTTCTTTCCTGCGCGGGCGTTTAAAAGACTGTCAACCTTCGCTGGAGTAAAGTGGGATGGTATACCTCAGCCGACGAAAACCGCCGCCCAATTTCGCGGTTGCGATAGGACAACGAACCCCCTCGGGATTGACGAGCTCCTGACGACTTGCGAGTGGCAAAGTGGGGCGACCTGGCAGTCCTCCGAGGCTCTGAACCCCTCGGGATTGTCGACTATCTGACGACCTCGGGTTTCGCTGAGAGAAACCCGAGAAGGATACCTCAGCGGACCCTGAACCACAGCTCGACACGTTGTGCGCCGAGCCGCGGTTACTGCCACGTGGCTTAGTAGGGACGGCCGAGATCGAGCCTGACAATCGGGAGGTGCCACGACGGCGCCGACGTGGCCCCGCTTCGCACCACCGGGTATATTTCGCTGCGCGCGAAACCTGGCGCGCCGACGAAAAAGGTAACCATCGTCCACGCGGCGAAAGACGACTGGGATGGTATACCTCGGCGAAGAGAGCCCCAGAGTCAGGGAATGTCGGCGTCGACCAAGCCTCCGGCCACGCGCCTACTCGCAGGTCGATGAGGCTTGCGCGGGAGAGCAGGACGCTACGGCATTTCGGGAGAGTGGAACTAGGTCATTGGCCTATTGCACGTGGCGCACGTGAATTCCACCGTGGCAAGGCACCGGCGGGAGTGCCGTTGAGCGCAGAGCGGCGTGACACTAGACATGCATCGATCGTGACACGTCATGCCCGTGCACAGCGGCGCTTGCAAAGAGGGCTGCGTGGAGCGCGGCAGGTGCGCAGTGGCTCGCAACCATACCCCTCCTTGACCACGCACAACGCTCTCATTCTGCCGGTTCAGGTTCGTGTTTCTCTCATGCTCCTGTGCGCCATCTAGCACTTCGTTTTCTTCACAGGACCCTCGCTATCTCTGCGGGTGTAGGTTACTCGACGGCCGAGTCGACCGAGCGGCGGCACAAAGGCGACGACCTGGAATAGACTGCCATAGGTCGGTGTTGGGGTCGACCATCGTCGACTTCGCCTTACTAGGTTCTAGGTCGTCATCTAGGAAAGTCGGCGACGATAGATCAGGGCGACGATAGCATCTCCCAACCTTACCGAGTCGGCGACGCGTGGCCAAAGGGCTAGTGCCCAACAGCCACAACAACTTATCCCACCCCCCGCCGATTCGGTAGACGACGACATCAAAGCGCAACTGGAACGACTCGAGGTCGACGCTGAGTTAGAAGCACTTGAGAGGGAATTCGAGGAAGACAGCCGCAGGACGATTAGGGCGTACACCGCACCCGTGAATCAGTACCATCTCTGGTTGACCAATCTTTCCCTCTTCCACGGCCGGCGGTAGAGCATACGAGCGGTCATGGACGACGTCGACATGACCGACGTTGGTACCCCAACCGACCACAGTCCGTCCTCTGCCCCCGTAGAGACGCTGAAGTTGCTTTACGATCTTGACAAACTTACTCAGATTCCCGAAGGGGAGTACACCAAGGACATACCGAATCCGCCAATTGGGGAGTTTACGAAGAAGTCGACACCGACGGCAGATGGGCAGACTGGACCTTCGTCGGTGCCCGCCGGCTCGGAAAACCAAGGTGATAACGACGAGGAGGACGAGGAAGAGAGCGACGACGAAGTCGACGACCGTCCTCCGCGTAGCACGAATCCGCGCACCTTGGAAGAACGCCTTAGGCGGGAATTTGAATACATACGTGACATGCTCGACGCGGACGAGAAGGAGGACGATCAGCACATGGCGGTGCCGCGCGAAGGGTGGAAGGCGACGGACTTTGTAGTGGACGACATGGTGTACTCCAGCATTGACGTGCTCATAATGGACGCCCTACGACACCTACAATGCTTGGAGAAGAATAGCACGCTCAGGCTGTACACCGCGTTCATCTACCACTACAAGAAGTGGGCGGCGAAGATGCTGAAGCAGCTACGCGACAAGCTACTGTCAGAACTTATAGCTTACTTGTTTCTGTAGGCTATAGTGGGGTATCCCATAGGGGGTACAACCCAATTAGGGTTTCCTATTTGTACTCACTTCGTTCATAGTCATTTCATTCTCGTTCTTTGTTTCCACATGGAATCAGAGCAGGTTCCCTCCTAGGGACTGCTTCTAGGGCCCACCGAACCGCGCCCCGAGGCGCGTTTTTTTTTTTTAGCGACCCGTCGTGTCGCCCCTAGCGGACCGTTGCGCCGCCCTTCCCCTCGCGGCTCCGCCGCCCTTCCCTAGCGGCCCCGCCGCCCTTCGATCGCGGCCCCGCCGCCCTCTGCTACGCGGCCCCGCCGCCGCCCTTCGATCGCGGCCCCGCAGCCCTCGGCTACGCGGCCCCGCCGCCCTCTGCCTCGCGGCCCCGCCGCCCTCTGCTACGCGGCCCCGCCGCCCTCTGCTACGCGGCCCCGCCGCCCTCTGCTACGCGGCCCCGCCGCCCTTCGATCGCGGCCCCGCCGCCCTTTGCCACGCGGCCCCGCCGCCCTCTACTACGCGGCCCCGCCGCCCTCTGCTACGCGGCCCCGCCGCCCTTCGATCGCGGCCCCGCCGCCCTCTGCTACGCGGCCTCGCCGCCCTCTGCTACGCGGCCCCGCCGCCCCCTGCTACGC